TTTTCTTTTGCATTTTTTCTGAAGCATTTAGTCCTTTTTGGATGTCTTGTTATCTATTATATTACTTTTATGAGTAGGGCTTGCGTCTAAATTAGGGTTCCGAGAAGTTTGATTTTAATTTATACGGCGGCAAAAGACATTGTTAATAATAGATTTATTCTGGAATTGCAGACAATCAACTGTTAGATTAACCATGTTGAACATAGTCAACAAAGCAAGAGAAGAAACATGCACACTAACTTGCTAGAGTTCTTAGACTTGAATGGCAAGGAAATGGATAAGTGCCAAAAGTGACATATTAAAAGACAATGAAACTTATTGACACGTGAAAATGACAAAACCTGTAACAGGAACTATGAGCCTCCATGCCATTCCAGATGCTGAAACAGTGATTCGTGCACAACTGCACATATAGGAAACTATAGAAACATACATGTATGCATATATGTGATATTTAGCTATCAATGCTACTATGTTTTGCAAATATTCATATATGAGGGTACTGGCTTAGATTAGATACCTATTTTTTTGGTTAAAAAGTTCAGTGGTTTAGCTTAAAGTTAAGGTTGAATATAAGCTCCATGGTTAAATTTGAATCGGTTTGCAATGTCGTGAATTTAGTTGTTCTTGCTCAACGTTTTGTACGAGTTTGTATAAATAGTAGCCTTTTGCTTTATGCAATTACTAAATTTATTTTCCAAAATTACCTTAGTTCCAGAGCCGCAGCTGGATGCTTATGTTGTATGCCGAAGCAAGAGATATTTAGGTGCTTTCCAGCTTGATGACGGGTAATTTCACACAGAGCAACTCTTAAAGTTGGTTACTCGGTTTTACTTTTAACTGTTCTGCTGAAATTTGTATAATCTGAAATATGACAGTGGAGAAGAACCTGTTACCATTGAGGCCAATGATTTGTATGCCTTACCATACAAGTCTATAAAGCCACTTGTAGAGAGTAAGCAAATTGATCTCGTTTGATGGTACAAGAAACTGCTGGTTTCTCTAAAGATCAAAGACTTTGTGATTGAAAAGGTAAAACTGTTAAACGTTCTTGGTTGGCATCACAACAATATCGTGATTGATGTGTTTATAATTGCTGCCACAATATTTTAGCAACAGTGGGACAATCTATTCATTGATGTCTGGCCACCTGTTCTGATGAATTGTGCCTGTTATGTAGTACTTGCATATGGTCACTTTTGGAAGTTGCAATTATCTTCTGTATTCGTAGACGGATAAACATAGCATTTGTAGGTTAAATATCGAAAAACATCTGGAGTTTTGGTGTAATTGATTAAACTATTTAAAATTACAAATGGTAGTATATTGTAATTGATATTTTTTTTTTTTAACTTGCAGAGCACAGTATAGCTGGTTTGCTATAATCTAGATTGCTTCATTTCATGTTTTTTTTTTTTTTTTTTTTTTTTTTTTTTTTTTTTTTTTTTTTTTGTGTCTTCGAATCGATAGATTGTATACCTCATAATGGTGAATTACAAGATGGCGCTTGAAGGCTAACTTAACTAGCCTTATAAATCCACCTTGAAGGCTAACTTAACTAGCCTTATAAATCCACCAAAAGGTGGACTAAGGACGAGCACTAAAAAAAATGCCCTAAACTAAAAACTAAAACACAAGGAAGAGGAATCCAACCATTCGGCAGCTACAAGCGCAGTGAAATCGATATGTGGACGCCTAACCCATACCCAAAACTGGAAACTCCCACAAGTGGAGATCATCTACTCCAACGAGTGGAGAAAAGCACACAACCTAACAGAACACAGACCTAAACTAATTAATTAAAGAGTACTACTTGTCCTGCTCGACACGAGCAACCAACAACAGACACATTGCCCAACACACAAACCGAAAGCCACAACAAACCAATCCCACGATCAAAACTAAGAGCGCTATAGAAAATGTTGAAAACAACGGCTACAACAATCCTTAGTCTAGATTTGAGCTCTTGAAGTCGCTAATCAAGGGAAGAAGAGGACCGGAGAGGTCAGGCTCGAAAAGCTGCACCGGAATTGAGGCTTTCTCGGTTTGTCCTGAAGAGGTTTTCAAGAGGGCTTTTTTTTTTTTTTTGAAAGATTCTAGAGCCAATACATCGTACACATTTCATGCTATCAAGCAAGACTTCTATTCGCGGCTCCTTTGTCTTTTGGGATGTGATTGGATTAAATTAATATGTAGTTTGGTGGATTGTGTTGTGTTGATTAAATTAGACGTGTATTTGTTATTTGCGATTTCTATTTTGGATACGACAATGATTCGATTTCCATTTCATTTGCTTTTTTGATAACTTATGGGATATAATTTTACATGTCAATTTTACCCCCTTTATACAAAAATAATACACGTCTTATCTTCCATTTCACTCAACATCATTAGTGTTTTCCTTTTTTTTTTTTTTAAAATTGTTTCTATTGAGTTTCATCTCTAGCCTACCCCAACTTGTTTGGGACTAAAAGACTTTGTTGTTGTTGTTATACACATCTCAACTTCATCCCTTACATTTTCAAACACAAATACTCATACACAGACATTTGCAGACTCAAAAACAAGTTTCAACAACCAAAAAAAAAAATCAAAAAATAAAAAGAAAAATAATAAAAAAAAGAAGCAAAAAGTAGACATTTTTAAGCTTCATGAATTATCCTCAACTTTCATAACAATCATACTCAACATTCTGTACAGATGGTTTTTTTTTTTTTTTTCCTCGAAAACGATAGGGGAAATATATTACTCAAACCACGAACAATGTCTGAATACTTCAATATATACAACTTGCCGAAAAAACAAGAATGAGAGGACACGTTAAGATAACGGCCTAGACCTCAATAAAAACAACCGGAACGAAAACAAAGAAGGTGACCTCACCACTGCATAAAATGCCTAGCAAGTCAACCCACTTCACTACAAAAAAGAAAACCAACCAAAGCAAAAACAAACAACAGGAAGAAACAACATCTTCAGCCCTTCGGTGCACATAATTCAAGCCATTCCTTGTGTGCGGCCTTGATCACCACCGGAATAGGCATGTTATTCTTCTCGAACTTCCAGAGCCACCATAGTAGATACGTCGTGAGTTGTATTCTATCTTCGGCCACTGGAGTCTTGTCCAAAGTGCAGATTTGCCACCACCAAGTTCTAAAGGTGCATTTTTGCATTTCAGCCTCATCCCATATTCCCTTTGAACAGGACACAACTTCCATAGTAATTGTGCTCATGGGCAGCAGAATTGCACATGTTTCTATGGTTTCAGGAGCCTCTCCACATCACAAAACAACGAGGAGCACTGGACGACCCATGACAACCGATGGGACACCTGGGAAGAGCGGCAGTACCAACAGTGGAGCACGTGGGACACTGTTGTAAATATTTTTACCGGAGTAGAATCGAAAGATTCATTCCCTGGGTCGTATCGCAAGGAAGGTTAGCTGGAATATTCTGTACGTTTATTCAAGCACAAATGAAAGAAATAAAATTCCTAAACATGCTAATTCAGATGATTGATTGGTTTTTAATTATCAACTACTGCAAAGATTTAAATAAAGCAATTAAAAATATCAAGCCAACAATGAAGGGCAAGAAGGATTTGAGAAGCAAGGGAGTCGGGGAGAGCCGTTTTGGTTCGAATTGCAATTAATGGGCAAGTGATTGTTCAACTGAGTGATTTGAATAATCGACACGTTCAAGTACTCATCTTCAATAACTTTTCGTAACAAGAGAACAAAGTAGAACGGCAAATTAACAATTCAGTTAACTCCTAGGCAATACAGTTACGAACAAGCCTAGTTCATAAGAGCCTATTTCGACCGAATCCTCCCCTTTTCGGTTTTAAGAGTCGATTAAAGTAAACTAGAGGGTGGTTAACCGACTAATTAAATAGACTCCAATTTCAAGCACGAATAAATCAAATTCAATTGAAACAATTGTAAGTTGAAGTGTCACCCTTCAACAACTATCAATACTCAGGCCTGACAGTTGAAAAATCCTTTAAAAAGATCAACTCGCATGAAAAGAACAATCAACGAACACCCACAATCGAATCGACATCAAAACATCAATTCCCTATTCCTTATCATATGAATTTAGCCTATCATAATTGAATTATCAACACAAACAATCATTTCAATCATAGAATTCATAATCAGCAATTAAGTGAAAAGAAATCCTTACAATCGATAAAATTCCAAGGTTGAATCTGAAGGAAATAGCGAAATCTGAGTTCAAATCCTTGTTCACAGTGAAAAACGATGAAGGAAAGTGGAAAAACGAGTTTAAGAGAGCGGGGATAGGGTTTTGTGTTTTCTGTGCATAAAAGGTCCTCTGCGAAGAATTCCCGATCAGATATATACAAGCGAGCTCTGGCACGGCATAGCATAGGCGGCATGACAGGAGGGGTCACCGCGGCGCAGGAGTATGCAGCAGGCGCGGTAAGAGAATGCTTCATGGCGCGGGGTCATTGCGGTGGGAAAAGAACGTTGCAAGTGTCGCGACGCGAGGGATGCATGCTTCACGGTGCGGAGGGTCGCGCAAGATGTCCTGGGCGTAGAACTCAGCAGGTGTCGCGGCGCGGGCGCACACAACCGTATCCTCTGTCCATCTCGTGGCAGCTGCGCGGCGCGATGCACGCGTGGGCCTACTCGAGCCGCAGCGAGGGGCCTGGTTCTTGAACCGCATGCACAACTTCACGTTTCGGGCTCGTATGTGCTCGTCTGGACTCGGAATCCGGTTTTGTTTTTTCCTTTGTACTCCCAACAAAATGCCTTCTTTAACCATGTTCACCCGGTCCATTTATCATGAAAACAAATTTTCCCGAGTCTTCCAACCTACACACCAATGACAACGAAAAACCGAAAAACGACTGAAAAACACAAGAAATACCGAAATAAAGCAAACAACGAAATAAACTACAAAATAAACTAAAAACCAACTAAAAGACCTAATATGAGGGAAAAATCAAGAAAAAGAACAAGGAAAAACGCAACAAAAATTTGACAAACAGACACCCAGTTCAACCAATGGGATACCCATTTTTTTTTCTCTTTTTATTTTTGTACAGCTTGTTTTATTTTCAAGTCGGTTACTTGTGTGGTCTAACTCTCTTGTACTTAGGATCGACAATGAGGACATTGTCTAATTTTAAGTGTGGGGGAGTTTTACGTGTTTACGCAGCTATGTGGTTGACCAGTTCTAGTTTTTCTTTTTTTTAGGATTGCTTTTTTTTTTTTCTCTTGCTTGGTGGACCTGTCTAATTTTTAGGATTATTTGTTGTGTCTTTCTGAGCGTAAACTTTGGTGTATTGTAAGACTAGTTTATGATTGATTGATTAAGTTAAGAAGTTATGATGATGATAATGAGTAGCATTCTTGATTAATTGGCTTGGTTATTTTGTTGACAATTATTTTACCTTGTGAGGTTTGAGCCACATTCGTTTTTTTTCGTGTGAGATATTGGTCAGAATCTTTGTCAATTAGAATTTGCCTTGAGTCTACTTTGAAATGAATCGATTGGATTTGTGTAATGTGAACTTGATTGAGACATTCTTTGTATTTCATTCCCTTTGTCTTTTTGCAAAATTATTTCACTAGTCACCCCATTTGAGCCTTATTGATTATTTTTTAATTGATAACCTCGTGATGATGATATTGTGGAGTTGCGAGTGGGGAATTAGAGGTGATTGGTGTTAGTATTGTACATATATCTATAAAAAGAAGAGAAAAAATGACGAAATAAAATGAAGCCGAAGGGAATATAAATATCCTAAGTTTTTCATACAAAAAAATAGAAAAATAAAAAGAAAAGGGGTCGAATGGATTATAAGTTAAAATATCGAAAGGTCCATAAAAAAAAATTGGTGAATAATTTGGGAAGTATGTTGGTTTTGGAGTAGTGGGAGGAACTGCTTGGTGTCAACCGCGGTAGGAGTTTATGATTAAGGTTATGTGATTGAGTTGAGTTGATTTTTA